AAATCTGTCTTTGGTTTGCTCCAAATTCTGTCTGGTGGACACAGACTCATTTTGAAAGAGGGCACACTTCTGCTGGCTTGACAGTATGTATTTTCTTTTACATTTGATTAAAGAGGTTTAAAATGGTGCCATACCATTCAATTTCTCAGTTTCCATGTCTGAATGTTTATCTTTGTAATAATGCAATTTTTTTCATGCTCCTCATTTCAATATACAGGTGTAACAAAATGAAGAACAAAGTCTGAGCCATGCCAGGAATTTTACAAAATGTACACACTGCAGCCCTGCAGACACTTCAATGAGGTTTACAAGAACTGCTTACCAGGTGTGCAAATTATGCATGCAACTGTAATCACTGCTAGGTACTTGATGACAAAATGCAATAGTAATAATCATTAATATGGCTTTGCATGCATGTCTACTGTTAATAAGGCAATTTAGGTATTAATGTCACCATTTTCTTATGAATCCTCTAAGCTATGTGGAACTGGATGACGAGTAAGTTCTTACTGCTAAATTCTGAAAAAACAGAGGTGTTAGTTATAGGACCTAAAAACTCTGCATGCGAGAACCTAGAACACTGTCTAAGACTCGATGGCTGCTCTGTCAATTCTTCATCATCAGTTAGGAACCTAGGTGTGCTATTTGATAGCAATCTTTCCTTAGAAAGCCACGTTTCTAGCATTTGTAAAATTGCATTTTTCCATCTCAAAAATATATCTAAATTACGACCTATGCTCTCAATGTCAAATGCAGAAATGTTAATTCATGCGTTCATGACCTCAAGGTTAGATTATTGTAACACTTTATTGGGTGGTTGTTCTGCACACATAATAAACAAACTCCAGCTGGTCCAAAACCACCGGGACAAGACCACAGGAACCAGTTGAGTCCTCTGCACAATGCGACTTTGCTGCAGCCTGGAATTGAACTGCTGGTTTCGTCTGGTCAGAGGAGAACTGGCCCCCCATCTGAGCCTGGTTTCTCCCAAGGTTTTTTCTCCATTCTGTCACCGATGGAGTTTTGGTTCCTTGCCGCTGTCGCCTCGCCTCTGGCTTGCTTAGTTGGGGACACTTCATTTCCAGCGATATCGTTGACTTGATTGCACAGACACTATTTAAACTGAACTGAGCTGGATGTTGACATCACTGAATTCAATGATGAACTGTCTTTAACTGAAAATTTAGTGTTTACTATTGTCATTTTGCATTATTGACACACTATTTTCCTAATTAATGCTGTACAGTTGCTTTGACACAATCTGTATTGTTAAAAGCACTACATAAATAAAGGTGACTTGACTTGACTTGACTATTTTGGAAGAGGAAAATGAGGAGAGATGCAAGGCTTTTACTCCGAAAACACCCATCCAGGGTTTTGCAGTGATTGGTGCAAGATGCTGGAGGAGTAACTCGGTATTACTCATCAGTTCCGGTCTGAAAGTCTTGTAAATACCTCAGGAGAAAGTGGCTGTACTGTGTGTGTGTGTTTTTTTTTTTAGTCTTCCTTTAACAGACATTAATATAAGACAATACTGCAAAAACAGTTTACTGTCAAGCTGTTATATTCCTGTTATATATTTATTGTCCAAAGTTCCTAATTTTTCTGTCATTGAATTAATACCAACATATGAAATTAAATGTGTGTTAATAATGCTAACACTTGAACGTAAACTATTTTCAACCGAAACTGACATAGTTTCTAGAGAGCAAAAGGTTTTGTGAAAAAAAGGGAAGACTTTAAAATAAAATCTGTAAAATAAACTGTTAAAATGATTTTATGATCACTAGTCTAGTGATTGTACAATATTGTTGTCATCGTTCAGGCTGTGTTTCAGCTTAAATGGGCGGTTTTTTTAACAAAGCAGTTGCTATTTGTCATAGCGGCAGCTAGAAGCTAGTGGACTACCGAGTCGCTTTCACCCCAAAATGGCGGAAGCGCAGGGCTGCTGCTGGGTATGAGGCGCCGGACTGGACAAAAGTGAAGCGAACGCGGAGAGAGAGAGCGACAGTGCGCGAGAGAGGCCGAAAATGCGCGCGAAAGAGAGAGACAGTGCGCGAGAGAGACCGAGTGCGTCCGAAAGAGAGCGCGACAGTGCGCGAGAGAGACCGAGTGTGTCCGAAAGAGAGCGACAGGACGCGAGAGAGACCGAAAATACGCGCGAAAGTGTTATTCTGTGAGAAATTCTGTGTAAAACGCAACGCTATTATCCTGCAATTTCCACGATGTTTAAGGGAAATTTTATATTAACTTGTATAATTTTGTTGCACTGCATTAGATGTCAGTGCAACGATGTACAAAGATATTTCACCGACCTAAACGCTTGTGTGACATTTTATGAAGAAACTATGCTATCAAGAAATTTTAAGAGCATGGAGCATTGTAATAGGCGACACAATGTCCTCTATTTCATGTGAGAAAGGTATACTTTCGCTGTCACTGACATCACTTTCGAAGAGTGCTGCATATTCCCACTCCCTTAAACGGTAAGTTTGAGCCTTAGCACAACAATTTTTATCTGACACAATATTTGTCTAATATCATCAAGAGCATTTTATGGACTGACAAAGCTTACCAAAGTCCACTCCCTGGATATTTTTGATTTTTACCTGTTGTTGTCCATGAGACTCCTAGAACTTCCCTCATCCAACTGGGAACCAGAGGCTTGAGGTGCATCATCATTTGACATCATCATAACAGAGCTGGCAGGGATCATGGCAATGGAAGATGATTCAACAGACAGATCAACATTTTGAAACAGAATGACTGCATCTGGCTGGTCCTCACAAACATCAAGGATGATAGTGTTGGAGAGTGTCCTAGAACTTCCCTCATCCAACTGGGAACCAGAGGTTTGAGGTGCATCATCATTTGACATAATCATAGCAGAGCTGGCAGGGATCATGGCAATGGAAGATGATGCAACTGATGGATCACTGTCGTTTAACAGAATGACTGCATCTGGCTGGTCCTCACACGTATCAATGGTGACAGTGTCAATTACAGAACTGAAAGCAACATCATTACCAGCCTCCTTAAATGTAAGAAAAAAAAAATATATATATATATATATATATGGAAAATATAAAGACTGTTAGATGTTAGCTGTTTCTTTTATCAGGGTGAAAATAAATCATATAACTTTTATTTAAATCATTAAATATGAAGTATGTAATGTTTGTGATGTTAAAGGGATAGTTCACCCAAAAATAAAAAATCTGTCTTTAATTATGTATCCTCATGTTGTTCCAATCACCTAAAGCTTTTGTTCATCCTCAGAACACAACTGAAGATATTTTAAATGAAATCCGAGAGGTTTCTGTCCCTCCATTGACAGCATAAGCAACTTTGACTTCGAAGACCCAGAAAGGTATAGAATATCTCTTTGGTTTTGAGAAAAAAATAGTATGGGACGTTCTATATGAGAACTGACCACTGTTTTTATGTTTATTAGAAATGGGGTTTTTTAGCCCTCAGAAATGTAATATCACATCTCAAAACACTACTGTAAAAAAATGTTATATGTGACGAACTGTATGAGAACGGACCTTTTTAACTTATTAGAAGCCGGGACTTTATAGATCTGAGGTATAATAATGACACATTTCTCACATACACAATAAAACAAACGAAAAATCAACTCAGGTACTTGAAGTATATACTTTATTGTGTCTGTTTTTTACGAATCCTGCTGTAATTCATACATAAAACAACGATTTGAAGTGTGTGTGTGTTTAAAGAAAAAATTGTAACAGAACCGTCAAAGATAAAGGATATTAAAGCAGAAGTACAAAACAAATATCGAGACGATATTTATACGATCGTTATACGATTATACGTTGTTATACGATCTCCCAATTCTGAATGTCTAAATGAAAAGCGCTCTGCAAGTGCGCTTTCTCTGTTTATAGTGAAATTACGGTAATAGTAATACGCGCACTAATTTCTATCGCGGCTGGTTTGACCGTATATTTCTGAACCGCAGCTGGCTTGACCGCAGTATTTTACCACAGTATAAAGTCACATTTTAAAGTGTCAGGGTATCACAAGTTATAATGTTTATAACATTAACGAATTCAGACAAAGGAGAACATACCTGTTCCGTGGCATGTTTACGGACCCGCTTCTGGCTGATCCACAAAAATTGCGGGAAAAATCAAATGCAGGCCGGGTAACGTTGGCAGTGGAATTAAAAAGCCTCTGTACCTCATTTGGTGAAGATATTTGATTTTCCGAAGTACTGTTTTGACAGAGAGCTCTGTCAATATTTTCAAGTACAGCTGGACTTAAAAGAATATTATTTATAATTCTCCTAGCTGCTTCAGACATCCTGTCAAATTTACAGTTGCAGTTCATTAGCGAGTCGAGTTATAACACTCGGTCTCTCTCGCGCACTGTCGCGCTCTCTCGGACGCACTCGGTCTCTCTCGCGCACTGTCGCTCTCTCTCTCCGCGTTCGCTTCACTTTTGTCCAGTCCGGCGCCTCATAGCTGGGCGCCGATCAGCGAAGGAGAGTGACAGAGGGTTGTCCCTCGCTGTAAAGTGACGTTAGGGCATCAGCGCGCTAAACTGCCGCTGCTGTGAGCGAGCGAGTGCGTGGACTTATTTTATTTCTTTGTTCCAACTTCCAAGTGGCCTATAGCCTACATTGGTCATGAATAAATTATGTTAAAACATGTATAAATGACTCATTCTTGACAAAAGGCAAAAGAGCTGTGTGCGTGCGCACATTTTAATAATGTCGGGCTGTAAACGGGTTCGGGCTTTTAAAAAGCTGTCAATCAAAATGTACTTGTCGGGCTCGGGCCGCATTCTGTCGGGCTCGGGCTCTGTCGGGCCTAACTTTTAAGGCCCGATTACAGCTCTACTGAGTCCACACTCCAGATCAGTGGGTGGCGGTAATGCACCCGAAAGCTGTTTGCCAACCGCCATTAAAAAACAAAAGAAGAAGAAGATAGCTGGGCCGCTGTCGCAATGGAACGTTCTACTGAGTTTCGCCTCTTGGTCTTCTCTTTGAATGCAGCAAGGCGAGCCCTACTTCCCGGAAGTTGCTGTCGAAGTGAATGGTAGGTAAGTTTTTGTCCAGTCCAACTTGTTAACAGTTTGACATTTTAATGGTAATGTACATAGAACGCATCTTGTGTTTTATTAATGAATGTTAGTGGTTTATTTGTACGTATACTTTATTGTATTGGCGCACTTTAATGTAGGCATTTAACCCATCGTCTCCGTCTATTCTTCTACCAGATCCCAATTGGGAATGATGTTTATCGAATTAATTTCGCGAATCATTCAACTTGAAAAATGAACTAACGTTACTGTAGAAATCACAAACTTTCACTGTAGTTATGAACAGTTTTGAAGATAATTTTCTCTTTGGTTTAGGTTTCGATTTTGTTTTGTATTCAGCCCACAACATCTCAAACTGAGGTGAAACTGGTCTGTGCAATCTAGGATTTAAATTTTTATAGGTTTTTTTAAGTGTACAGACACGGCATATATATATATATATATATGTTGGCAACAGTTGTGCTGCCAAATATATTTTTTGGAAACTGCATACTTTTTTTAGGATTCTTTGATGAATAAAAAGTAAAAAAAGAACAGTATTTATTCAAAATTTAAATCTTTTCCAACAATATAAATCTTTGCTATCACTTAACAATTTAACACATCCTTGCTGAATAAAAGTTTTAATTTCTTTCAAAAAAAGAAAATAAAAATTTACTGACCCCAAACTTTTGAACGGTAGTGTATATTGTTAGAAAATATTTCTATTTTAAATAAATGCTCTTCTTTTTTTACTTTTTATTCATCAAAGAATCCTGAAAAAAAAGTATCACAGGTTCCAAAAAAAAATTAAGCTGCACAATAGTTTCCAGCATTGATAATAAATCAGCATATTTGAATGATTTCTGAAGATCATGTGACACTGAAGACTGGAGTAATGCTGCTGAAAATTCAGCTTTGCATCACAGGAATAAATTACATTTTAATGTATATTAAAATAGAAAAACATTATTTTACATCATAATAATATTTCACAATTTTACGTTTTTTCCTGTATTTTTGATCAAATAAATGCAGCCTTGATTAGCATAAGAAACTCCTTTAAAAAAACATTAAAAATCGTTCTGATCCCAAACGTTTGACCGGTAGTGTCTAAAGAGTTCAGATGCAAAAGCCTCTAAGTGCTGTCTGAAATTTTAATCTAAAATGATAATTTTTGTCAACATCCTATATTTATGTTCATTTATTTGACTTTAATGGCATAGAAAAGGACCTATACATTGCCATTAAAGTAAAATTACTGAACCTAAACATAAGAGCCTGATAATAAGAAAATTTAATATGGCTCTTAGAGGCTTTTGCATCTGAACTCTTCATATATGTGAGTATTGGAGGGCCTTTATTTAGGAATTCAACATCAGACATTGACGGACTGTGATGTATCATTTTCCAATTAAACTGGGTTGTGGCGGGAAACAATCGCATTCGCTGGCGTAGGATTCAGGTCAGTTCTCTCTTTTTTTTAATGCCATAGATCAGAACAATACCATGAGAAATATTCAGATGTAAAAAGAAAAAGATTAACAACAGTTGCTTCTTAATAAAAAGCTCCACATCAATCCAAAATATTTTTGTGTGTACAGTCGTGGTCAGAATGATTGGCAGCCTTGGTAAATATGATCAAAGAAGGCTGTGAAAATAAATCTGCATTGTTAATCATTTTGATCTTTTATTTAAAAAAAATCACACATATCTAACCTTTCATTGAACTAAAACAATTGAAAATGGGGGAAAATCTCATTATGAAATAAATGCTTTTCTCAAATACATGTTGGACACAATTATTGGCACCCCTAGAAATTATGTACAATTTCTGTGAAAATATTCCCATTTTTATTTACAATTTTAAGCATAGTGTCTATATGCCTAATGCACGGTGAGGAGGAGCGTTTGAGTGGCTAAAGACTCTCCAAGGACCACAGCTAAAGAATTGCAGAAAATAGTTGAGTCTCAGGGACAGAAATCCTTAAAAAAAATAAAATAAAATCAAACAGCACCTACACCACATGTTGTTTGGGAGGGTTTCAAGAAAAAAATCAAGAAAAGAAAATGCTCTCATCCAAAAACAATCTCCAGCATATTCTGTTGTCAGACCCGACTGGAACTTCAAATGGGACTGGCTTCTACGGTCAGATGTAACAAAAAAATTTGCTTTTTAGCAACAAACACTCAAGATGGGTTTGGTGTACACAGGGATAAAAAGTACTCCATGTGTACAATGAAATATACTGCTGTATTTTTAATGTTGTGGGCCTATATTTCTGCTGGAGGTCCTGGACATCTTGTTTAGATACATGACATCTTTGATTCTATCAAATACCAACAGATAAAAAATCAAAAAGTGACTGATTCTGTTAGAAATCTTATAATGGGCCATGTTTGGATCTTCCAACCGGACAATAATCCAAAAACAAACCTTAAAAACAACACAAAAGTGGGTCACTGGGCACAAAACCAAGCTTTTGCTATGGCCATTCCAGTTCCCTGACCTGAACCCTATAGAAAATGAGTGTGGTGAACTGAAGAGGAGAAGCACCATCATGGAGCTGGGAATCTGAAGGGTCTGGAGAGATTCTGGATGAAGGAATTGTCTCTGATCTCTTGTCAGGTGCTCTCTAACCTCATCAGACATTATAGGAGAAAACTCAGAGCTGTTATTATTGCCTAATGGAGGTTTCAAAAAGCATTAAATAAAAGGGTGCCGTTAATTGTGTCCAATGTGTATTAGAGAAAAACATTTGTCATAATGACATTTCCCCCCATTTTAAATTCTTATTCTCCAATGAAAGGTTAGATTTATGTGAACTTTTTTACATAAAAGATCAAAATGATTAACAATGCAAGTTTATTTTCACAGCCTTCTTTGATCATATTTACCAAGGGTGCCAATAATTCTGACCACGACTGTATACAATGAAAAAATAAATGAAAAAGTTTCCTTTTCACCTTTACAGAAATCACAAGAGAGTAATCAATATCTAATTTAAATCTGTAACAGGGCGAACGAGACGAGAGACATGCGGATCCATCTGTAAAGCTTTAATCTTAAACATAGTCAAAACAGGCAAGGGTCGGACAATGGCAAACAGGTATTTAGAGGGCAAGATAGAAGAGTAATCCAATAAACGGGCGTAGGTCGATCAACGGTGTCGGCAAACATAATCCAAAGGATGAGACAAGCGAGTAATTCACAGACATAATAATCCAGGCAAGGTGCGAACAGAATCCAAACAACAAGACGAGAGAGAAATCCAAGACAGGCAGGTTATCAGGAGCAGACAATCAGGCAAAACTAGATGTTACGAAACAGGACTAGAACTAGACTAAACTCAGACAGAACACTGGCTCGATAAAGTGCACCACTAGGAGAGTGATAAATGCAGACAATACTCGGCGTTGAATGCTTGTTTGAGACTGATTTTTATAGTGTGTGTAATTGGCTGCAGGTGTAAACGTAATCAGTGAAATGGAGCATGGGAAATGTAGTCCGTGGTGACATGTGGAAGTCTGTGTAGTGTAAGAGTCAATATAATCAGAAGGCGACCACTGGTGGCGAGCAGACAGAAGACCACGGATTCGTGACAAAAGCATTCTAGCACCTGTGGATGACAGCATAAATAATATAAATAACAAGAAGACAGTAAAGAATATAAAATATATAACAAAAAATACCATAAAACACGAAACAAAGTAACTAGGTAATGCGTCAAATTTCATTCAACGGATCATTATACAGTTTCACAAGTTTGCATCTGATAGAGGGTTTGGACCCAGAAGCGGTGACCCGTGACCTCAGACTTAACAAGTCTGTTTATGCGCCACCGTCGAAATAACTTGGCGGCTAGATTGACCATGCTGTTCGACTTTGCGGCTGGCCAGACTGCGATCGGAAACAGTGTTTCTTTTTCAAAGAAGTGTTATTTACCCGAGTTGTGAATATGAGTTTGAATATGAGTTAATGCGATTAGATGCGCCCTGTAACCAAAAGTAGCCCAATGGCAAGAAAGCACGTATTTTTTATTGAGTTGTCCTCGCGAGTATTATGATGAATAATCATGCAGATATATCAGATACGCATCTTTATTCATTATGTTTAGTCTTTGTACCTCTGTATGATGGGTTCAGGCTGTCTTTTTCTCTGCTGCTTTTTCTTTTGTTCACATTAGGAAATAGTGTAAAAATAATAAATGTGAAATAAATATTTTGAAAATGTATTATGCTAATATGCTTAAACTTATGTCTTCAGGTTTGAAATGCCTGCAACATGGCGTGTGCACAGCAATCTGCCACTGAGTACCTCAGAAACGCCAGGAAAAAACTGGTGACTCATATGAAGAACTTTCCTCTGATCATTGAGAATCTTTATCAGCAGAATGTTTTCAATGACTATGAGGTCGATGCTCTCAAAGCTGAGAGGACAGAGTTTGATAAAGCCAGATGTATATTAGATTGGGTCATTAACAAAGGTGAAATGGCCAGTTATGAATTACTCAGGATTCTGGATGTCACTAAGAAGAGGACATTAGATCCTGGTTTACACTACTGGATCAGCTGTTTTTCCTTCAGAGTGGAAGATACAGAGCCCAGCTATTTATTTGGTGAGTAGAAAAATGAAAGAATATTTTGGTGAAATTAACACATTTCCAATACAATTTTTAATGCTTTTGCTGCTATTATAGGTGCAAAGCCCTGTAAAAGCTACCAGACACAGCTCAAGATGAAAGCAAAAAGTATCCTGAAGGACCAACGGGAACATAGCTGTAAATATCTGGATGACAAGGTACAAGGAAACTTCAGTTTCATACCTCTTGTTTTAGAGAGAGACTCTGTGGTGAAAACTCCTCAATGCGAAATAAAATCAAAAAACAAAAAATGCAAAAAGCTACGACCCAAGAAGCTGAGAGCTTACATTCCTAATGAGGAACAAGCACTATCACCTGAGGATCTCCTGAAATGGCAGGACAAGAACATCCTCGTCATTGGCAAACCTGGAGTAGGAAAGACTACAGTTGTCCAGGAAATGTTGCGTATTTGGGCAGAGAAAGATGGCAGAGAAATCGACTACATGTTTTACTTTGATGAAAGTGTTTTGGCCCACAGTTCTAATATTGCCAGTTTGCAGTCTATTTTGTTTGATGTGTATTTAAAACCCATGGAAAATGACAGAATGGATGTTTTTAAAGATATTGAAGAAAACTCAGAGAATGTTGTTCTTATATTGGATGGAGTGATGGATTTTGGAAAACATTCCATCTTGTGGAAGATCATGAACCACGAGCTCCTGCCCGATGCCAAGATTGTGATAACATGCAGATCAGAGGTGGAATATGATCCACTTTTCTGCAACTGGCCGACACAGAAAGTGTATGTCCAAGGGTACAGTAAAGAGTCTATCAGCACATACTACCATACTATGTTGGGTCATGATCCTGTTCTTCTAGAAGTTGTTTTGAAAAATCAAGAGTTGTTCAGTCTCAGTCATGTTCCATTGTATGCATCCATGATTGTTGACTTGATGCAATTTAAAAATGGCACAGTATTCGACCATCCACACACAGTTACAGAGATGTACATCCACATTTTCCGTGCTGCTGTGAAGAAACCAATTAAGCAAATAGATAAATACCTGAAAGACATCAAAGATCAGGTCTATTACTTGATGGAAAACGCATTCAATGCAACTATGCAGAAAACCCTAAACGTTATTAGCTGTGATGAGACAGACATTTGTCACGCTTTTCTCAAAATGATCACAATAAGAGACTCGCCAACATCTGCAATGACATACTGTGCGTTTCTCCACAACACAATGCAGGAATTCTTTTCAGCTTTGTGGCTTCTTGGACATCCAGATGAAATTGAAAAAATCCTACAGCTCTGTCAGACTGAAGAGCATAAACACATGAGACATGTTCTTCCTTTCTTATGTGGACTTCTGAGTGAACACAACATCAGACTCCTCAAGTGTCTCTTCCCAGAGGATCAGACAAAGAAAACTTCTGATTGGTTCATTGAGAAACTTTTGGACACTTTTCTCCAGCCTCAGAGTGACAGTGAAGAGTTTGATCTTCTCTATGTGTGTCAGTGCTTGTATGAACTCCAGTCTCCTAAAGCCTGCTTAATGTTCCTGGAGAAGATGGACCATCAGCTTGAACCAGAAGTGGATCTTGATCCTCATCAGTGTTGTGCTTTGTCTTATGTGATCGCTCAATCCAGAGATAAAGAGGTTTATCTGAATCTGGAAGACTGTACCATAGCTGATGTGGGAATGAACATGATGCTCAGCTGCTCGCCAAATATAAGGTAATAGAGATGAGATTTTGTGCGTGTGTGTGTTTTTAATAATTCTAGCTGTGAATTTAGAGAGATTTTTACTCTGCGGAAAGACTGACATCACTGCTAAAAAGACAAAGTTAAAAATAGTATGAAAAGTGTGATTTATAGTGAAGTAATTTGCCATTTAAATAATATATTAAAGCAATAATAAAATAATAATAAAAAGTAATGTAGTCAAAGTCATTTAGAACAGCTAAGTGGTGTATAGGCACGATACAAATCTATTTTTAAGATTTTTTTTTTGGTCATATCTGTCAGTTACTCTATTGAAGGGCTGCACTTAACATCCATATATCCCTAGAAATGAACATTGTATGGTAGACATAGTACTGAACCTCTAAAGTAGATCATCAAGGCATAATTTTAGATTTCTGTGTTGCAGGTTAAATATTTGTAAAGAACCACTGGCGCAAACCACATTCTTTCTAGAATTCTTCCATAAAGCATCTCAATGCGGTTGCAGCTTTTTTGATCAGAGATACAATTGCAACCACGAACCACTCAATATACTTCTGGATCTTTACTCGCATGTAAACAACTATGAGACTCAAACAGGCAGAAGTTTCCTTCCAGCATTACAGTCAGTTTTCCAGTCAGCACCTGATGTCTGGATCATAGATCTCTCACAGAGAAAGACCTCAATCCTCCTGGAAGTGCTGAAACTCCAAACAGAGAAGAAACCAGTAGAGCTGAGAGGATGTTCAGAGGAAGAGAGAGAAGTGATGAGTTTCCTTCAGTGTCTGCCCTACATCTCACAGCTGAGGTACCTGAACTTGCATGCTTTTGATTGTTGATTTAACCCTCAGAGACCCAAGCACTGATATTCATATATATATATCAAGAAACTGAACATTATTTACAACATTTTTACCTGTAATCCATAGCCTCAGGCAAATGGTCCGGACTAATGTCCGGTTCGCGAACAAATTCTTTTGAACTGGTTCTTTTTTAGTGAACTGGATGAAGCAGTTCACCAAAATAGTTTGCCTGAAATAGTTTGCGGGTCAAGCCAGCACAGATTTACAAGTTATTCAATCAAAACTCACTTTCGGACGTGCCTAAAAGTCACTTCGATTCTAAATGAGCCAATATATTTATGTGCACAATCTTATGTTGCTGGTTTATGCCAGCTCATTCGGCTGCTGCATCTGAAAGCTGAAAAATGCTGTCTTTGGAGGATGTATTCCAAGTTAGGAAGCTTCACTTCCTGTCTCCTGAGATGCCTTCATCTGATCAATTTTTGAAGGTAGCATAGATGTATCCTTCGCTGCCTTTGATATCCCACAATCCTGTGTGTTCCATTCCATGATGGTTGAGATAAAAAAAAATGAAGATGGCATCTGAAGGTTGTGTTTGGTGGTTAGTGTGTGTAAATGTATGCTTCTGACCAACTTTTTGCACTTTTGATGTTATTTCTAGCGGGAAATCAGTATTATAGTAATTAAATATTTGCTTATTTATCACCAAAGCTCATTCTATTTTGTTGTAGATCATTAAACCGTTACACTGCCTCAGAAGCATGTCCAAAATCAATTTCACGAGGTGCCTTTGTGCGCAAATGCTGCCTGGAAAGTTATTGCCTGATGAGGCAGCTAGGCAACAATTCAGCAGCCTATTATTTAATAACCTTATTCAGTTGTTGCAATTCTGTTATGCTGGGTCTCATGAATCCTAAACTTTAACTTGTAAGAACAAGGCTTGCGTTGAGTGTTTAATCTATATTGTATCTGATTCCAATATTAAATGTTTGTACAGTTATCAGAGATAAATTCATTATTGACATTTCATAACTAATTTGATGCACGGTCTCAAGTGTCTACAGCAATGTGAGCTGAAAACAGAAAACACTACAATTTAATTAGCATTAGTCACATAATAGCTATAATAAGTTCTGTGATATCTCTACTTATTCACATTTCTCATTTCCATTTTGTTACAGAATCTCTAATCTGAGTGAAAGTGTTCAAAAAAGGCTTCTTCTGAGTCTCTTCATTAAAGCAGCAGAGATTGAGACACAGACAGGAGAGCAGATGCTGAAACTGTTAACATCTGGCTGCATTTACAGCTTTTTTCCTTACAGATGGACTTTCAGTATTGAATGGAGTGATTTCCTGCTAATTTTTTACTCACATGTGAAGAACTATGAGACTCAAACAAGCAGGAGTTTTCTTCCAGCACTACAGTCAGTTTTCCAGTCAGCACCTGATGTCTGGATCATAGATCTTTCACAGAGAAAGATCTCTGCCCTCCTGGAAGTGCTGAAACTCCAAACAGAGAAGAAACCAGTAGAGCTGAGAGGAAGTTCAGAGGAAGAGAGTGAAGTGATGAGTTTACTTCAGTGTCTGCCCTACATCTCACAGCTGAGGTACCTCATACAAACACAAATAGAGTTTTTATCATTGTCAGAGTTCTGTGATATGTCTGTTTATACTTATTTTTAATTTGGTAACAGGTTTTACCTTTGGAATGGCATTTCTGCAGCACAGTTTGTTCTGAGACTCTTCATTAAAGCAGCAGAGATTGAGACACAGACAGGAGAGCAGATGCTGAAACTGTTATCATCAGTCTGCAGCTACAGCTCTTTTCCTTATGAAAGGACATACAGAATTAAACAGAGTGATTTCCTGCTGGATCTTTGCTCATATGTGAAGAACTATGAGACTCAAACAGGCAGGAGTTTCCTTCCAGCATTACAGTCAGTTTTCCAGTCAGCACCTGATGTCTGGATCATAGATGTCTCACAGAGAAAGAGCTCCGTCCTCCTGGAAGTGCTGAAACTTCAAACAGAGAAGAAACCAGTAGAGCTGAGCGGATGTTCAGAGGAAGAGAGTGAAGTGATGAGTTTACTTCAGTGTCTGCCCTACATCTCACAGCTGAGGTACCTCATACAAACACAAATAGAGTTTTTATCGTTGTCAGAGTTCTGTGATATGTCTGTTTATACTTATTTTTAATTTGGTAACAGGTTTTACCTTTGGAATGGCATTTCTGCAGCACAGTTTGTTCTGAGACTCTTCATTAAAGCAGCAGAGATTGAGACACAGACAGGAGAGCAGATGCTGAAACTGTTATCATCAGTCTGCAGCTACAGCTCTTTTCCTTATGAAAGGACATACAGAATTAAACAGAGTGATTTCCTGCTGGATCTTTGCTCATATGTGAAGAACTATGAGACTCAAACAGGCAGGAGTTTCCTTCCAGCATTACAGTCAGTTTTCCAGTCACCTGATGTCTGGAGCATAGATCTCTCACAGAGAAAGATCTCTGCCCTCCTGGAAGTGCTGAAACTTCAAACAGAGAAGAAACAAGTAAAGTTATTCGAATGTTCAGAGGAAGAGACTGAAATGAAGAGTTTTCTTCAGTGTCTGCCCTACATCTCACAGCTGAGGTACCTAAAATTACATTTAAATTTTTGATTTAACCCTCAGAGACCCAAGCACTGATTTTTATGATAGATGTTTTTTCATGCTTGAAATGTTTTGAGGAAGCTATTGATATAACATGAATAGTTATAAAAATGAATTAGTTTTACATATGTTTTGTATTGGAGTGTAAAAATTTAGGGTTTAGGGTTGCAATTGTACCAGTTTTTAAAATAGCAAGTAGGGCTGCACGATTAATCAAATGCGATTGTCATGCGCATTTTGATAGTAATGCCGGTTCTGTAATCAGCAGGAAATCATCATCACGTGCTTTCAGATGGAGCAGAATTGACTAAACATAGCTTTAGTTCACTGACAAGTTACGCAAAAAATTTTTATTGTGCGATTATGAAATGGAAGAAATTGTTCGCGATAATGACAGCTGTTTGCATAGCTTCTCAGTGAACTACGGCTCTGTGAAGTAAATGCTGCTCCATCTGAAAGCATGTGAAAATACCACATTTAATAACATATTTTTACTCCAAACTCACTTCGTAACGTCAGTCGAGTGTTTGAAATAAATCCTTCTGTGAGATGATGTGGCTTCTTACACAGAATAAGGCACGCAACATATTTCATAGTATTTAAGCGGTGATAAAGACATTGCATTATAAATATACTTTATTTGAATAAATTATAATAAGAACTCAGATAAACCGTATATTGCCGTAGTCGTGTGTTTATTTGTTACGTTGAATCAATAAAAGCAGTTGAATCTTCTGTTTATTCAGCTGCAGCCATAGGCATTTTCTGGGTTTCTTCTGCAAGGCATATTTGGAGTTTCAGCGCGAGAGCGCCCTCTGGCCTTTGGATGGAGATTTACTGCTGATCACAGAACCGTGCTTCACTGAAAGATACGCATGACAATCGCAGCTTCTGTCGAATCGCGATCTCGGTTCCATTTCGATTTATCGTGCAGCCCTAATAGCAAGTAAAAATTTAATTAAGTAAAAACACAATTCAACATACAAATGTATATGAAAATAACATATTACAACCAATAAGAAATAAAGTCACTTAAGAAATGTTATTAATTCACCACCATATCCTTTACTTTATTCACTTTTCTACTTTGCATATTGTAACAATCAAAGAATTGAAGCACTTGAAGCACTTGTTATGCTTCATATTTAAGTACAATAAAAGTGTCAAAGTTCCGGCTCGTACCGTGTGAGAAGAATTACGGGCCGATTCGAGAACGTTACAAGCACCTCCCGTCCTCCCGATAATTTTCAAACATGTCAAAAAAAAAATTGGATGCTGTCGGTTTAAATTTGTGGCATATGTGCGGTTGAACGAGACGATTTGGTGATCCATCGGAAGTTGACCAATCAGAAGATGACAAAAAACACATATTTTGTATATAAATAGTCTTTATAGTAATTTGTTTAATTATACAGCTCTATTTTTTATTTGTTATTCCGAATTGTACCAAATTTACCATTCAGCTTTATGAATGAACATGCCTGTTATATTTCCGGCAAAAAGAGCAGAAATTCAGAAATAGCCTACTCGCCTCGAGTTGTTTATGAAGAACATAAAGTCCATGCTTTTCTCTGCTTTTCAGCCATTCTCTTTGCCATGTCCTTCATCTTCGTTTCTTTTTTTGGACGTCACAAGCCATAGCTGCCACGGAGAAAACTATTTCGTCCTCAGAATCCATATTTTTATGAATGGAGCGAAACATAATGCTTACCACAGAGTTTGTAAAATCGCAGTTAATTTGTGTCGTGTGTGTGACTGCCTCCTTACGATTTTCGGATAAACTCAATTGTGACATGTGCTTGGGCTCACGACGTTCCGATTTTCAGAATCGCACCGTGTACGCCCGCCTTAAAGCATGGCACATTTCCCATGTTATCTCTATAATTGAAAATGAGAAATGTAGAGCTCCATTAAATCGAGTTTTACTGCACAGTTCTATAATGTATAATATGTTGTAGGCTATAATATGTATAAATATGTTGAATGTTGTGTGAGTCTTTATTGTGTAAGACCTATATAAAAAGCTTTGATCACTAATGACCAGCATTGCATACTTACTAAGTTTAGGAAAATTATTTCAAATATATGCAAGTCGAACATTTCAGGGCATGTAACATTATTCAATAGACCTCAGGGTAGTGGCATATTTAATTTTTGACAGGAATGAAAGCGAGGCTGTGAGGGATAGAAGTGGAGTGCTTTAAGTGGATAGGCCTACTCAGGGCAAGGATTGTTTGCTAGAAAATAATAATAAAAAATTGTCATCTACGTGTGCATTTTACAATGTTTAAAAGCTTGTTAGGAATGTCTTGACATGTTTATTTGAGATTTTTATATTTGTAACTAAAAATTAATTAATTTCCGACATTGTAATGAAGCTCTGCATTTACCCGCCTGCATCCATTCTGATTTCACTCAGACAGTAGTCACCTGTGAATGACACCACGCCTCTTGGAGCTGGTAAATGGTCAAAATATGGAAAAAATACACTAAAGAGTAGGAACGTGAAGATGGCATTAAGGGCTGGATACAGCATGTGACTTGGGACGATACCAAAGTTTTCTGTAGGTACTGTAAAGCAGTGGTACTCTCATGAACGCACGTCGAAGACTGACACGGAAGAGAAGAAATTGTTGAATAAAGTCATTATTTTTGTTTTCTTTGCACACAAAGTATTCTCATGGCTTCATAAAATTAAGGTTGAACCACTGTCTCGTGGACTATTTTAACGATGTCCCTGCTAGTTTTCTGGGCCTTGAACGTGGTAGCTCCGTTGCCATCTATGCAGAGTCAGAAAGCTCTTAGATTTAATCCAAAATATCTTAATTTCTGTTCCAAAGAAAATTTTCATTTTTGGGTGAACTAACCCTTTAAGATTTTTTTTTTTTTAATTTCAAATAATTATAAAACAGATATGGGGGCAAGTAAGGACATTCTATGGCCATTCATACTCAAAATGGTAAGCATGTGCTGCTTTGTTAACGGCTTGTATATATGCAGTGTTAGTTTCAGTTTCCCTTTTTTGAATAATGAATATAGACTGATGATATACAGTTGTGGCCAAAAGTTTTGGCAGTGACACAAATTATGTTTCGCAAAGTTTGCTGCTTAAGCTCTTGTGGTGTTCATTCACATTGTTTCTAGATTATTGTGTAGAGTGATCAGATGCATTTTTAATAATTGCTAAAAGCTTCATTGGCCAAAAAAAAAGACCTTTTCACAAGAAAAACTTTAAAAAACAGCTTATAAAACATAGTTCTGGGTTTTTTAGCTTGTTTACTGTACACCTTGTTCCATAGCAGCTTTTAGGCATTGCTCTGTTTTTTGTTTTAAGTCAGAAATGACAAGGAGGCAGCTTCCCGCAATTGAAAGTCAATGGAGAACATTGGATTGTTTTCCCCCCCGGTGTGGGCGTGGCCTAAATGCGCTCTTTCTCTTTTGGCCGCCTCTAGTTTTCCCTTTGTTTTGCCTCCAGCTAGCGCTGTGACTTAATTGTGATGTCGACACTAAAAGGGTTTATAAACAATTATTTTCTGTCACGCAGACAGAAAATTTACCTGCTTTGGCCCTTGGCTGTAGTTGTAGTGTGTTCAAGCACAAATTATTAGCCAAGGTACAACACGTCGACAACACAGTTGGCTTTTGTGACAGCTAGTTCAGTTTTTTGATGTTTGTTTGGTGTGTCACAGCCTTTATACTGCATCTGATTCCAATATTAAATGTCTCAACAGTTATCAGGGTTAATTATTCATTGTAATTCATAATTGACATTCCAGGTTTAATTTGATGGTCTATATCAAGTGTCTACAACTATGTTAGGTGAAATGTGAGGTAATTAAAAAAAAATGATATCTCTATTTATTCACATTTCTTCTTTCCATTTTGTTACAGATTCTTTAATCTGCATGAAAGTTTTCAAAACAGATTTCTTCTGAAACTCTTCATTAAAGCAGCAGAGATTGAGACACAGACAGGAGAGCAGATGCTGAAACTGTTATCATCAGTCTGTAGCTACAGCTCTTTTCCTTATGAAATGACTGACATAATTAAACAGATTGATTTCCTGCTGGATCTTTGCTCACATGTGAAGAACTACGAGACTCAAACAGGCAGGAGTTTTCTTCCAGCATTACAGTCAGTTTTCCAGTCACCTGATGTCTGGATCATAGATCTCTCACAGAGAAAGAGCTCCGTCCTCCTGGAAGTGCTGAAACTCCAAACAGGGAAGAAACCAGTAGAGCTGAGCGGATGTTCAGAGGAAGAGAGTGAAATGATGAGTTTCCTTCAGTGTCTGCCCTACATCTCACAGCTGAGGTAAGATAATCTCTGGAAATTTACAGTTATTGTGAAAAATGATTTCTGTATAAATTGGAACATGTTTTCAGGTGTTAATGAGTGTTGTTAGATTAGGGGTTCTATTTTGAATGATGCATTCTGACCGTTTACTACACCTGATCTGATTTAAGTGCAGTTTCTTAAGCCCAAAGTATATTTCGGCCATCTGCATTCCGAGAAGGTCACTGCCCTCATGAAGCAATTTTAGTCATCAGAAGTTTCCGCAGATGTCCGCCCACACTGTTCATGTGCAATTTTTGTGACCACACGTTCAACAGCGCAGGCGCGAGGTGAATGCTGAAAGAGTCAAGTAGGTGGTACTGCGCATGTCAAACTTGTCCATCCACACTCATCCATGGTTGAGTGTACTTTGAAAATGTGCAGACGCCTTTAGATCTGAACAAACCATCAATCATTAATTTAACCATCGCATTGAGTTTTTAATGAGGCTATGAAACTTTATATTAAATGCACCAGTTCAGCTATGATCTAGAAGTTTGTTCTTGCATAGAGTGGGTTGCATCTTTGCAGGGATTCCCTGTGGTAAGCTGAAAGGGGTTTCCCTGGTGTGCTCATTGGTTACAGGTCTGTTCATGTCTGGAGTGACATCTTGGAAAGCCAGCCACGATGAGCGTTGACTGATGAAAATAAAAGTCACCTTCAAGCAGAATCACGTATCAAAATCAAAATCAAGCAGAGTCTCGTAGGTGGGTTGAAGTTTAAGGAGGGCAAAAACTAAAGAATCGGACCCTACAGCTTCATGGCAAAACTAAGAATAAGAAACACTCAACAGAAAAGAAAAGAGAGAGAAAAGAAAAGTATGACTAGATTGCTTGTTCCTTCATGATTGTAGATCTAGAACTGACTTGCAGAACAGTCTAGAACAGGCATGGGCAGACTCGGTCCTGGAGCACCATTGTCCTGCAGAGTTTAGCTCCAACCCTGATCAAACACACCAGAACAAGCTAATCATTGTCTTCAGGATTACTTAAAGGTTACAGGTAGGTGAGTTTTATCAGGGTTGGAGCTAAGCTCTGCAGGAAAGTGGCCCTCCAGGACAAAGTTTGTCCATGCCTGGTCTAGAAGAACAACAGTTTGTGATACGAGTTTTAGACTCTGCTGTTTAACCAACTCTTCAAAGAGCTTCTGACCAATTAGACATTGTCTTTAGGTTGGGGCATAGCTTTGTTTTCTTCCCCTCACATAAATCACGCCATCATTTCAGCCACATTGTTCCTAATTGTCCCGCTCTTGCAGAGTACAATTCAGTCACAGTTTCTACAATGAGAAGATAAGTTTTACCAAGAATTGATTATCAACATTTGGTAAATGAATTACCATTCACTCACATACCAAACATCACATTATTCATTAATCATCTTTAATTAAGGCATAATAGTCAAACATGTAGGTTACAGATATGACATAAACTGTAGAATTATGCAATGGAATGATATTTGGTTATGAGTCCTTCTTTGCATCATTTTGGGATGAACTGATGAGTTTTGATATGTAAACGCACGGGCAATTCTAGGATTTTCATTTTAGGGGGGCTCAGCCCCCAATGAGGGTATAATAATGATGAGCCCCAGATACAGATCCCCTGTAAAGACCTTGTCTCAGACGACCACCGGGACAAGACCACAGGAACGAGATGAGTCCTCTGCACAATGTGACTTTGCTGCAGCCTGAAATTGAACTGCTGGTTTGGTTTGGTCAGAGGAGAACTGGCCCCCCAACTGAGCCTGGTTTCTCCCAAGGTTTTTTCTCCATTCTGTCACCGATGGAGTTTTGGTTCCTTGCCGCTGTCGCCTCTGGCTTGCTTAGTTGGGGACACTTCATTTCCAGCGATATCGTTGACTTGATTGCAAATGATTGCAAAGATACTATTTAAACTAAACTGAGCTGGATGATGACATCACTGAATTCAATGATGAACTGTCTTTAACTGAAAAATGAGTGTTTACTATTGTCATTTTGCATTATTGACACACTATTTTCCTAATTAATGCTGTTCAGTTGCTTTGACACAATCTGTATGGTTAAAAGCGCTATATAAATAAAGGTGACTTGACTTGACTTAATAATAAAAAATAATAATAAATAAAAGAAAAAAATTATAATAATGTTTGACTAATAGGGTAGGGTGATATACTAAACTTATTGCAGTATTCCACTGTATTGCATACTGTATTGCATAGATGGGTATAACATTTGAGTAATGAATAAGCCAAATGCAAGTCTTCCTGCTCTCACACACACCTGTTTTCTATACAAACATACATTTTTACTGTTTGCATTTCTAGAACAAACCTCTTTCTTTAGCTCAAGTACTGTCTGTCACTGTCTTTAATAATTTATGTGCATGACTGTATGGTAGTTAATGCCACAAACACTGTAATAGGCTATGTTTTATATTGAAAGTTGCATTTAAAAAAAAATCTAATGAAAATATCAACATGATCATTTTATAAAGTATGCATTCATAAAGGGCTACATTTTCACTGGAGGAAACAGCTGTGGTGTGATGAGTGGTGAACGAAGCAAAAACTTTACAGTAGATGGGAAACCAATTGCTCCCCATGACATTTTGAAAACTGTATTTATGACAAAGAACTGCACAGATGCAGATATTACAACAATCTATCGATAAACACACCTTGTCCTCTGTTTCTCGCTCTGTGCCGCCAAGGCCTGCTGATTGAAGAACACGCTGAAAGACGGGGATGAGCCGAAGTTTGCCGCCATTTTCATATGAAATTTAAAGGGGACTGAAGCGATCACAAACCCGTGTACAATTTATTGAGCTAATCGCAAAATTTTTAGGGGGGCTGAGTAGAAATGTAGGGGGCTAAGGCCCCCCTTAAAATGGTCTAGCGTTGCCCATGAAAACGCAGTCTCTGTGCCATTCAGAGAGTGGTTAGGCTATCAGTCCTGTGAGGAAAAGGTCAAAAGGGATTCCTGATTTGCCTCAATGTCCTGGGTGGAGAATCACCCCCCTTTGTCTTAACCAATGATTCTCCTTGTGAGCGTTGGGATGTACCATCTTTGGACCCATTTGCCTTGGATTATCTGCCTAAAGTTGAAAACCAGGAACCTCAAATGCGTGTGACACACTTGAACGGACTTCACTGGTTCTAGTGCATCACACACATGCACATTTGAGCATCTTCTTTTCCTTTTAATGGTGGTTGGCAAACCCATTTAAAAGTGCATACCGCTACCTACTGCATGACAGCTGATGTAAAATAAGAGTCGGGCTTAGGAGAGCCGATACCAATCAGTTAAAAAATGCTTAATCGGCCCCGATCCCGATCTTTGAGATCGGCTTGCGATATCCCTATTGATGGAGTTCTTTCTCTAGTTGGGGCCATTTCTTACAGGCGTGCTTTTTTTAAAGTGGTGAAGGAGTTAGTTGGGAGTTGCTGGGTTCACACTGACAAGAGCCTCTGATTTTATGGTGCTGGAGTGTTGAATGCTGGGCAGTTAGGCTGCAAAATTTCACCAGTTTTTTTATATAGCAAGCAAAAATTCTCAATTCACAACACAATTCAACGCACAAATGTGTATGAAAAATTATATATTAGAACCAGTAAGGATAAATTTGTGAAAAGTGTTAAATTGGTGAACTTCAGAGGCAAGGGAGAGTAGGATCAAAATGCAGTATTTATTAAATAAACAATAATCCAAAAACAAGGAGCAGGAACCAAGAAACAGGCACAGAACTGAGGACACTAAGGGTGCTTTCACACATGGCCTGTTGTTTCGGAACCTGGCGCGTTTCCCCCCTTAGCTTGGTTCATTTGGACATATGTGAACACGGTCTTATTGCTCTTCTTTGTAGTAGGTGCATTTTAAAAATGTTTTCCCAATCAATCCTGGACTCCTGCTCAAAATGATAAATTATTATAACGACAGCTACAAAAAACCCAACAATAAGCCCGCAAAGCTGTTATTGTTCCATCCTGACGGATGACAGCTGTGAAAGCTCAGTGGAATCCCGGAAAATAAACCATGGAACTTTGACCAATGAGAGAACAGTTTACTCGCGCGTGACTTGTATTAACAAATTTGGTCTGTATAGAAACATTGCCATATGAAAGCAAACCGCACCAAGAATAAAAAGCAACATTGTAATAATTTTAATCCCTGTTTCGGAACAAAGCAATCGATCTACAGGTGTGAAAACACCCTAAGGCTACCTTCACACTGCAGGCAAATGTGGCCCAAATCCACATGCTCACATGTGACTCAGATCTATTTTTCTCATGACAGTGTGAACAGCACAAACCACATGGAATCTGATGTTTTTAATTCCGATTTGTGCCACTTCCATATGTGGTACTAAATCTGATACAGGTCAGATATTTTGCAGTGCGACCTCAGTGTGAACAGTCGTACCGGAATTCATGCGACTTTTACGTCACTCTAGATCAACATTCGTCACGATTCTGCACTCATGGGAGTCACTTCAAAGATTTTACATACCTAAAGCTATCAAGACAGGTGCGAAAAGTAGTCAGTGGAAGTACAGTGACATGTCAGAACTCATAAGTATTGCAGTGGCAACTCTATATACAAGCAAAACATAAGGGCTCGTATCATAAAAGTTTCAAAACTCTGCTCTCTTCTGTCACATCCTCGTCTTAATTTTTAATTTTCCTGCACATAATTTTGCTGGCTTCTGCGGCAGATCATACTATAAATAAACGCATATTCGTTTACTTTATGTCCTCCGTGTTTACTTCCGCATGACAGCACGTTGCGCTAGTGTTGCCAAGTCCACAGTTTTACCGCAAAATTTAGTAACATTTTCATCATTGCTGCGGGTTTGTTTTTCAACTCCGTGGGTTAAAGCGACCCCACTAACGCGAAATATTACCCAGAACGTGATTGGGCCAGTTTTAGACTAGTTTTGAGAAGCAATTGGGCAGATTTTGATGTGAAAACCTGGCAACCCGGTTCGTATTGTTCTGTTGCGCATGCGGGTCAGTTCAGAACCATGATCTGTTCTCACTGGAAATCTGATATTGGCCACATTTAAAACAACAATGTGAACAGCTATACAAAAAAAATCGGATCTAAGCAAAAATCGTAATTGAGCACTAAGGCTCGCGTAGTGTAATACAACATCCAACTATGGACAAGACCTGACCAAGAACACAGGAAACACAGGGGTTTAAATACACATGGGGTAACAAGCTGACAAGACACAAATGGACTCAATCAGGGAGTACAGAGGGAAGCCAAAATAACTCAAAACTGACTACAAAAACCAGACAGAAAGCAACTTAAAAGTCCACATAAAAATCAGGGAACACAGACCAGAATCATGACAAAAATTTTAATACATATATTATTTTAATACGTGAATTAACACCGCCACATTATTTACTTTATTCACTATTCTACTTTGTATATTATGTCTCTATAGTCAGCTTTATGTATTGTATAATGTCTGTAACTGAGCTTCAGCACAAGTATTTTAATGTCCAGTGTAAACCCAAGGACTATGTAGCGAATCAGCTCAAAGGGGAAATAGGAATAATTAATCATAACTAGTTATAATTAATTATAAATATTTAGATCCGCTGTAAGTATTTATTTGACCTCTCAGGGTCAACTGTCTGTCAATTCTAAGAACGTTAATTTCCTGGTTAGGGAAAATAACTTTCTTACTGTACAATACTACTCAGAGCATATAGCATAAATCTGCATGATTAGGGACTCCAGTTATGAGCAAACAATGAACAACATCATGTGTGTTACAAGTAAGACTTTATTAACTACATAAACACTTAAACTAGTCTAACATACACATACACACACAAACACGCATACAGTTGGTATAGGAAAAGGATAAAAGCTTAGGCAGTAAAGAGAAGAGAAATAAAACATTAAGCTATGGTACCATTTGATATTCAGCAGATCTACAGCCTGAAGGAAACATCAGTTTCTTAGTTCAAACACACCTTTGTAAAAAGGTGCAAATGATACTTAATGTATGCATTTAATAAGACTAAGTTTGATGCTTGCACATCTTGTCTGTTTGACAGAGTCCTGATGCAATCTGAAGGCTCAAGTTGATCTTTGTTGAAGTTGGTTGATGAAAAAGAACCAGTTTGAGTCAGATGATCTTGGTGAATAAAAAGTCAAAGTGTCCTTAGAGGGGTGCTGGCTCACATCGTCATCGTCTCAGAATCTAACAGAACCGCAGTCTGGAGACTTAGTAGAAAAAGCTCTCTGGGCGGAACTGTGCGTGGGCTTTTTTAAAGTCTGAGAAAATTACCTGCCTCTTAGGATGGGCTTGTCCAATGAGAAAGGCTGAAGTTTCAAGCGGGAGTTTGGATACTGGGGAGTTTTACGACCCTTTGTGTGAGGGCATGGTAATGTGCAAATGAAACTCGAATCAAATTACTAAAGATTCTTAGAACACTAATATATTGCCTATGTACATATAATACATATAATATTCACTCTCGTTTAGATCATCAGAAGACGAATTCATAGATACTAAACATGGTAGGATTACATATAGGTAAGATGACATGAACGAGTGGTTCTATCATAAGCCTGCATAAAACAGTATACAATATAAACAAAATATACAAGGACAGTAACAACATACACAATGACCTGGATGATATGTGTGTTCATTCAAAGAAAGGTTTTCCTATGAATTAATTAGAGAACAGTCCATTTCTCTGGGCATTATGTGTTTTTCCTATGAGGAAAATGAGTGAGTTTCTCTGCCCACATTCCTTTGGGCAATAAAACCAGTGATATCAGCCTTGGTTGCCATGGAGGCCAGAGGACGCATTTCGGGGGAAGGGTCCATAGACCCTCATGTAGCTTGTTAACTGAGGGGTGTTACAGAGTATTTGTTAAATCTAATGAAAAACGGTGAGGCTGACTGGTCCATACGCTACAACTATTTAAAAAACTGCACTAAAAATTCATGTAAAAGTAAACTGTCACTAATCCTTGCAAAATAACAGGTGAATAATCATTACACAACTGTTGATCTAAATAGTGTCTTTTACTTTTTGTCACTTACATTCTGAAAAGTAAATTTTCTTAGTTAATTTAGTTTTTGCCCTTTTTTTCTTTCAGTGTCTGGTGTAATCAAAATAATAGAAATGGCCTTCACTGAATGTAACTGTAGACTATAATGTTTTATTTTAATACTTTATTTTAATAGCAAGAAAATCGTTGCTGGGACCTTAATGACTTGAGCATAACAGAGAAAGTAGCCAAATATAATTTGGAGTACTTTATGGCTAATATATTAAATAGGGTCTATTGTGGGAAAACTATAGAAAAAAGTTTGATTACTAACGCACAGCGTATATTTGCAAATCTTAAAGGGTTAGTTCACCCAAAAATGAAAATTCTGTCATTAATTATTCATCCTTGTGTCGTTCCAAACCCGTAAGACCTTCATTCATCTTCGGAAGACAAATTAAGATATTTTTTATGAAATCCTGGAGCTTTCTGACCCTGCATAGACAGCAACGCAACTACCAACTTCAAGGCCCAGAAAGGCAGTAAGGACATCGTCAAAATAGTCCATGTGACATCAGTGGTTCAACCGTAATATTATGAAGCTACGAGAATATTTTTTGTGTGCAAAAAAAAAAAAAAAAGACTTTATTCAACAATATTTTGTCTTCCGTGTCAGTCTTCGATGTGCGGTGGTGCTGCTGATGCAGGAGCCGGCGTTCTGACGTAGAACCTGGATGTGCCTTGTTTATAAGCAGAGGAAGATGCATGCTGTACATAAAACATGTCTGGAAATTTCGACAGAGAGGATGACTTGCAATATTTTGCCCAGTCTTACTTATTCAAAACAGAATATACAGACGAACTAAGAGAGATGGACATTCTACGTTGGAACGCTGGCTTCACGCATGCGCCATGATACTCTCGTGAATGGTGGCGGACGCTGACATGGAAGAGAAGAAATAGTTGAATAATGTTGTTATTTTTATTTTATTTTTTGCAAACAAAAAGTATTCTCATGTCTTCATAAAATTAAGGTTGATCCACTGATGTCACATGAACTATTTTAATGATGTCCTTAGTACTTTTATGGGCCTTGAACATGGTAGTTCCTTTGCTGTCTATGCAGGGTCAGAAAGCTCTTGGATTTCATCAAAAATATCTAAATAATTTGTGTTCCAAAGATGAAAGAAGGTTTTACAGGTTTGGAACGACATGAGGGTGAGTAATTCATGACAGAATTTTCATTTTTGGTTGAACTATCCCTTTAAGAAAATGATCTCAGCTACTTATTGTGTGTTAGTGTTAATCTATGCTGCATCTGATTCCAGTATTAAATGTTTGTACAGTTAGCAAATTCATTATTGATTCATGACTAATTTGGTGTTCTGTCTCAAGTGTCTACAACAATGTGAGTTGAAAACACTGTTTATTATGAATATTTGCATTATTTAGTTATTATAGCTGTAATAAGTTGTTCATCTCTGTTTATTCACATTTCTCATTTCCATTTTGTTACAGAATCTCTAATCTGAATGAAAGTGTTCAAAACAGATTTCTCCTGAAACTCTTCATTAAAGCAGCAGAGATTGAGAAACAGACAAGAGAGCAGATGCTGAAACTGTTAACATCACTCTGCATCTACAGCTTTTTTAATCATGAAAGAATAAATGATTTCCTGCTGGATCTTTGCTCACATGTGAAGGACTATGAGACTCAAACAGGCAGGAGTTTTCTTCCAGCATTCCAGTCAGTTTTCCAGTCAGCTGATGTCTGGATCATAGATCTCTCACAGAGAAAGATCTCTGCCCTCCTGGAAGTGCTGAAACTCCAAACAGAGAAGAAACCAGTAGAGCTGAGAGGATGTTCAGAGGAAGAGAGTGAAGTGATGAGTTTCCTTCAGTGTCTGCCCTACATCTCACAGCTGAGGTAAGAGAATCTCTGGCAACTTACAGTTATTGAGAAATATGATTTCTGTAAAAGTTGAAGCATATTTTAGGTCTTAATGAGTGTATTTAGATTAGTGGGTTTATTTTGTATCAGTGTTATAGGGTGATGCATTATGACCATACACTGAGGGGTTGCCTTCAGTGTGACAACATAAGGGACAAAAAATACTGATTTGAAGGACAAAAAAAGATCAAGACATGAACTGATTATTTCAACACATGAGGAAGAAAAAAAAATACTGATTTGAAGGACAAAAAAAGAATAAGACATGAACTGATTATTTCAACACATGAGAACTTGACAGCTCACCAATAAAACATGAGAAAAGACACAAAGGCTATGTGAACTTTCAACAGAACACATTTTTTATTAAAGATTCATTTTTGTTGTTGTATTGAAGTTTATTTTGTCATTATTTATAATTCTTTTAGTTTACTTTCCGTATACACCACAACTTCACTTGCTTAGTCCTGGTTCCTCCCCAATTAGCTACTCAGTTAAATGTATATGCCCCTCTGTTATTTAGCCAATCTCTGCAGCCATAGACTAATGAGTCCTGATTTATAAATGCCTGCATTGATGCGCAATAGACAAGGAGACTTTGTAGCTGTCGGATGTTTGTAATGTGTGTGTGTATTCATGAGCAATGTAAGTTTGTTTTCTTGGTTTATATAGTGTATCTTTGACTATGTAATCTTAGAATGGTTTATTTTGATTCAGTTGTTTGTATTCCTGTTCTTGTTTAGAAACCACACACACCCATATTCACATGTTGTACTCCCTGCTTATCTTTGCTCTACCTGCTTCAATGGATGAATAAAGTGATTGTATGAAATGTAGTGTTCACACTTGTATTACTGGACTCTGTGTTCTTATAGACACCCCTGCTGTACTCAAGCCAGACATTTCCTGAACCCTATCCTTTACATGGTCCTTTCGAGCCAGAGCTTTTTTGATTATCAGCAGGATATGTCCAGTTAGTCTTTGCCATCTCTTTCTCATGTTGTCTGATCACGTTGCCAGATTTAACTTCCTGCTCGATGTGATGACTTTGTGATGCATCTTCCTGCCTCATCACATTCACCATTGACTGGTGAAGAGTTTTCTCCTGAGGATTGTGGTGCACAGTACCATCCACAGAAAGAGCAATCCAAGAATGAGGAACCATTTCTTGAAGTAATTACTCATCCTCCTTCTGTATCCCCTCCAATAGTCACAGAACCTGACTGTCAAACTTAACTCCTTCTGCAGTTAATCACAGAAGTCATGATGCAAAGTAGATTAATCCCACAGTGTATGAAGGCTGGTGGCCCTCTACATGCTTCAAGGTCTTCCCCCTATGAACATTCAACTCCTAGACCTTCACAGCTTGCTTTTAATCCACCCCCTAGTGGTGTTGCTCAAAGTTCACATCAGGTTCTAGCTCCACCTCCTGTACATCATCACTTCTCTGGTCAGATCCTACCTTCAACTTAATCTCCTGGTCTTAATTTGCCACAAGCCCAATTAAAGCCTCTCATGTTCCTGCATTGTCAGCTCCTGTGCTTTAATCAATTTTGCCTCAACCTTTGAGTTTTATCAGTTGCAGTCCCTTACCAGCCTGCTTCGTCAGCATATTTGCGCAGCAGTATTCAACCTGCTATTGTGACAGCACCCCCACTGGTCACCCATGCACCTGCATCAAATATTCCTCAATATCCACGCCTGCAATCTTTAACAGTGCCCTCTCAGATCTCTTATGCATCTGCTTCTCAGTTTCATCAAAATCAAGTGTTTCCTGCTGCATCCCCTCTGTTCGCCACTTCATTTTATAGACATCATGAGAGATTCATAGAAGGTCCATCTTTTCCTTACCTTACAAGAGAGGATAAAACCTGGTATATGATGCTGAAAATGGCCTTGTCTAGTCTGCTGGATCCACATGAGACTGAACAATATAAGTATCCTATTTTGCTAGACCATTTGAAAGTGGATCAAGCTAAGAGACTTGCGTTGGCTTATCTCCACACCCCACAACTTCACACTCAAGCAATCAGAACTCTCGATTAGGGCTGTAACTAATAATTATTTTGATAATTGATTAACTGGCCGATAATTTTTTTCGAATAATCTGATAAAATTCCCAATTTTCTTTCTTTTTTTTTTTTATTGACAAATTGACAACAGGTCAACTGAATGCTATGAAAATAGTGCTTAACAATTTATTAGACCACCTGTCATAATAAAGAAAAAACTAATATTTTAGGAATCTTTCCAAAAAGTAGGTTAAATCTAAAAATGTTAATGTAATTTATTGGGCAAATATCTAAAAGTAGGCTAGTATTTATTCACATATTAACAAGAATGTCCTCCTATGCCTTCCATAACAGCTTGCATTCTTGCTGGCATTGTTTAGGTAATTTTTTACTGTAATTTGGTATCTGAGAAAAAAAACACTATAAAGTGCTTGACTATTTTTTTCTGCCTTTTTTCATAGATTAGAGCAATAATTATATTATAGCATAGGAATAGTCAACTACTGTTACTAAAGAGCTTATGCACATTGGAGGACTAACCAATACAGAAAGCTAAAAAAAGATTATAATCACCAATACTGTTTAGTTTAGAGCAGCAGTGGCACAAACCTTACATAACTTGTTAAAACCCTTACATACATTTTTTTTTTTAATTGTTAGGCACTGTATTGAATATAGTTTAAATCTCTACATTACAATTTTTAATAATAATAAATATAATAAGGACGAATAAAAACATAACCAACAGGTGTTAACCAACAGGTAAGAGTAATGTAGGAAAACGCGTCCACTTTGATCACATGTCATTTCTTTATCCTGTAAAAGGCGACAATGAAGCGTCTGATATTTATATTCAGAATTACACGCTGTATCCCTTTACAGTTCCTACTCTCATAAAATACGTGCACTACATGTAGTGCACGTATTTTATGAGAGTAGGAACTCTCATAAAATACGTGCACAACATGTAATCCGCCATTAAAGCAAGTAACAGTGAGTAAAACAATGGTAATGTGTGTGAATAGAGTATTAGTGTAAGCGAGATTAGCGGCAACCACGCTGGCGATGCTAGCGGGCTATATGCTAATAGCGGACTCGGAAGTCAAAAATAGAACTAGTGATAACAAAGCGCTCTGATTGTTTTTGTTGTAGAATACGATAGGGGATATATTCACATGTTATAAAACTGAAAAAGGATGGTGTATAAAATTGATTTTAAGATAAAAAATTAGACGACAAAGAATTAACTTGACGGAGCTCAAACTCAAACCACACGGCAGCAACAAACAGGAAGTGACACACAATGAATGTTTTTGCGCTGAGTATTAACTTAACTGTCTCCTCTCTACTGTGTTGTTCCGTCTGTCTGACGCGCATCCACGCGCCGGCACTCATTCAGTCAAGATTTACTATCAGAACGGACCTTTTTGCAAAAATGGAAGTGCTCGCGTAAATTTGTTACATTTACAGATAAGGATATGACCGTAAACTGAAAGTTTTTGCGCTGAGGACGAACATGCATGTATCAAAGCGCCTGACAAGGCAAGCCATTACACTAATGCATTAGCTTAAAGCTTAAAATAAAGAACTCTCATGTTTTGGGCAGCTTGGATCACGTACTTCTCCCGCAGCATCTCATTCGGTTTTGATTCTGTTTAGATGCATTTTGTCCATAGAAATGCGCTGTTCAGTGCTGTAATTTGACGCGACCGGCTGAAGTTGGACATGCACCATGGGCAGACCCGACTAATCGATAATGAGAATCGTTGTCGATTATTTTAATTATAGATAAAAATCGATTTTATCGATTAGTTGTTGCAGCCCTGCTCTCGATGAATATTATGAACAGCCAAGACAGCTTGCGCTGAAAGAGCTTCATGCTATTCTTGTGTAGGGATTTCTTAATACCACAAACCACAGGACTGTGATATGCCCCTATCAGCCATCATGAGGTCTGGATTAACCTAATCAAGAGATACCACAGAGATCTTTTGTATGATGACTACAACTTATAGCTTCCTCGTGATGTCTTGTGACCACCAATGAATGCAACTATTATATCCAAACAGGAAAAGGACAGTAATTTAATCACGCCCTCAGGCCTGTGAGCACGGGACCTCATACGTGACTAACACATGATTCCCCTCACATCCTGCATCCCAACAGAATCGTGCTCTGGTCGTTGGAACAAAGGGACACAAAACTTACAACCGACAATTTCAACAGACAATCATTTAAAAGTATAAAAGGGGCAACTATATTGACAAATAATATGTTGTATGTCTTATATATATGCTTGATGTGTTTCATGTAATCGGTGCAACTTTAATCAGTGTTTATTACCCTTTTTTGGAAATAAGGTTATTAAAATGTGTGTAATATGTGAAGTTTAATCTTGAACGAATGGGCACGACAAATGCAGAATGCTGAAATAAAGTAAACTTTAATAGTAGGTACAATATTCGCATTTAAGAGACTTTATAGAGGAATTACCAACTTTATAGGTGTCCTCGTGACGAATTGAAGCCTCTTGTTAATGTATGCACGCTCCGCCTTGCAAGAAGCCGATTGGAAGGTCGCGCCGTAGGTTGGACGTATGCCACGGATCAAAACCCCTTTGAACCTCAGATTCCATTGCTTCTCGCTGTTTATTCTCTCGAGTGAAGGCTTTTGCCGCTTGCTCTCCCGAACGCAGGCTCTTCGCCACTTACTTTCTCGAGCAAGGCCTTGTCGCCATGTGGAGAGCACTCTAACTTGTGCTCACAAGCTGAACCATCAGGCGATCAACCATCTAAGAACTCAAACACTTCAGTTGAAACTTCGCGATCTTCAGAGAACTTAAAGTCTTGCAAACTCAGACTTTCAGCAGAACTGCTCAAGCCTCTACGTCATCAAGAAAGCAACCAATCCAACGAGGGCTTCCCCAAAAGGACGTCATCCAAACGTCATTCCGGCGCCAGATCAACAGCCAATCAGCAACGGAATCCCCTCCAGTAGCCACAAGGAACAACTCAGCTTTCAGCAAAACGCAAGTACAAACAAAGCTCCTATCTGCTGAAATCGGTGCGGAACTGGTGAATTGAGTTAAGCAGTAAAGATAAGAAAATCTCTCCTTTGTGTTTCTCCCAGGCTGAATTTAAAACCACTCGTGAAAACGAGTTAGAACTTT